CCTAGATACATACACCACTGCCTGTGATTAAAATCAAAAGGGTTTCATCTACAGCATGTGGCTGTGTGTGAAACCTCCTTAAAACACTTCTTAGCTAAGTGCTGCTGGAGAGTAATTAACTCAACCAAGTCAGTGGTAGTGTGAACGCCACATTGCAACCACAGTGGTCTGTAAAAGTAGTGCAATTTGTGGATTACTATCAACTTACCGGCTGTGTTCATGGCTCTACTACTAAGCCTGTGTCTGAAACCCTAGTGCTTCTGCCTGGCTGAGGGCTACTAGGAGGATTTTTTTGGCATAAAATCTGTCTCAACAGTCTTCTTCATAGTAATTCTTAGAAGAAAAAAATACAGAGATACAAGTATAGATGAACCCACATGTAAATAATAATCAATCTTTCTACTTTTGAGGATTTTTCAGTGAAACTCTGCTATGTTTTTAGGATTTCACATAACAACAACACAGGTAGACACTTAGTGGGAAATAAGAAAGTCTATGCCTTTCCATTAAAGATAAAGAAAACCTGAATTAAGTGGATTACATAACAGATTATATGCAACTTGACATAATTTATCATCACTGTTAAAAAATTCCCAGAGTACATTTACATAAAACTTACAATATTGCATATTGCATTACTACGATAATTGTTTCTAGTGGGCCTACCCAATAAACATGTCTTTGTGTTGATTGTTTTTTCTTCTCTCATTTTTTCCGAGAGAATGAGCATACTGTATATCTGGGAATCCTCTAACCATTAAAATATTGTTAACTTTATATTGAAGGCATGGCAAATTTTCGAAACTGCATGCTCAAATCAAAGCCCCTTTCTTTTCTTTTTTTTTTTTTTTTTGAGTATTTGAAAAAGTAAAAAAAAATTTTTTTTTAAATACATAATTATCAAATTAATAAGAAGGGTCTGTACACATACCTGTCTCTAACTGTTCTTTTTGGTTTCCAGTAACCAAATTCTCCATTGAAGAACATTCCTTTCATATTAACATACGAATAGAAATCATTACGATTCTTAAACTTGGAAATGATGGAACCACTATAATGCTATGAAAAAGATTAAGATATTTTCATTATATAAATAGCATCCTGAAGAAGTTCATTGCATAACAAAAGCTTGGTGTTCAATAAACTATATTTTGTATAGTAAGTATACGGTAAGTAGAGCAATTTGATTTTTTTACTGATTTACTTCAGTCTAACATGGCTACTCAGGGGTCCCAAGGTGGAAGAAGTCAATTGCAGGAGATCTGGTTAAATGAGCTTTGTTAGGATATCAAGAGTTGTACATGTTTCATTGTCAACCTAATGGGGTGAGTAATGTTTGCCAGTTTAGCCAAAAATATAGGCATGAACCATAGAACTAGGAAACTAAACGCAGCAAATTTTCCCTTATGAACCAGAATGATTGTCCACTGCTATTGTTAAAATAAAATACCAAAATGTTATTTATTTACTTATTTATTTTAAACACAGAGTTTATTTAAATGTGAAAATAACAAACTATTACCTTACAAAATAAAATTTAAAACATGTTAAACAGAATTGTTATACTGTATGTCTCATCAATCAATAAAAAATTGCATAGCAAACCTATCATGTTAAGAAGTGGAGCAATAGAAAGCACTATTCCCCTTAAAAAGTAGGCCTACTATTCCCCTTTAAAAAAAATAGTACTTTTTGGATCTGTCGCGATGTGCAAACACTAGGCCCACTACATCGTGCTGCTGACGGTAAAGGGGATTTGCGACCTTTACGAGATTAGCCCCTAACCGCGTCACAGATCAGAGAGTTGACGATAAACAAATATGGAGGCTGTTCGTTTTGAGATGAAGGAGGACTAGCCTAGGCCTACTGTAGCATTAGTTCTTGATGAAGCCGATAGAAAAAGAACCAAAAGACAAATTAAATATCACCTTATCGATATTCGACAAATATTGCAAGACGATGGGTGCTGTTGAAATTGAGGAAATAAGCAAAGAAGAGCTAGACACGGATGTAGGAAAAAATGGCCCTGGTAAAAATGGCCCTAATGACAAGCAGGTAAAAAAGGCCCCAGTGAAGAAATTCATTAATAGCTAAATGACTTTTTTTTTTAAATCTTCATATATTTAGATACTGTAAAACAGCAAGTATTGAATCAATAAATAAAAACTGGCCCCCAATTATAAAATTCAATAAAAAAATAAATTTTTAAATGCATGCTGTAAAATACTCTGAAGCAAAAATTGAATTAATTAAAGTCAACAGAAACCATGCATATTTCAAAACTAAAATAACTTAGTTTTTAGCTGATTATTATTATTATTCTCTTTTTTTTTATAAAAAATAATTTGATGTTCATATCAACCCATTTTTACGGGGTTTAGCAATGCCCAGATTGAATTTCTGGAAAATTGTGATTCCGCTTCCCTGAAATTGGCCACAAAGAAATTATTTTGTATTAATAAATGCATAATTTATGTTGATTTATAGATTAAATTGTTGCTATTTTAAAAAATTTAAATGGAAAAAAAAAATAAAAAGTGTTATTCATGGCTTATTTTTTTTATCTTTGAATATGTAATTCCTGCAAAAATTAAAATATAAATTGCTATTTATTTGATGTTAGATTCTTTTTAAAAACTAAATTATTTCAGTTTAAAAAAAAATGCATATAATGATTTTTTTAAAATCAGTTTTAATACAGAATTATATTATTGGGGGTCATTTTTACAAGGCAATTTTTACCTTACACCGCCAGACACACTTTTTGATCACCTAGTAAGCCTACAGTAGGCCTCTAGTCGAGTAGTAGTATATAGATCAGACCATTTAGGCCTCTAATAACTCTAATAGGCCTCTATAAACAGCCTAGGAAGTAAGTACATTTTTAGGCATCGTAGAATCTATGTATGAAGTATATAAAACAAATATTGACTGCTCTAAATTCGAGGAACAGTGAAATCTATTGCCCGTCGGTGATGTGGAGACTGTAATCTATCTTCACTTGGGCCGAAGACTACGGCCTTCACATCACCTCAGAGAAATAGATTTTAACATTCCCCACAGGAGCAGTCAATATTTGTATATTTAATACATCACTGCAAATTTGATTTACTATTATTATTATATTGAAATGAAAATACCCTGTTAATATAGAACAGCAAAGAGGGGGTGACAACGCTAACTAGAATATCCACCACTGGATTGGACAATTAGATCCTTCTTAAGCTAGATGTATATTAGACACGATAACGACATATCATCGCGTAGTTTGTATTCTTCAACACTGGGCGCAATATGTGTCGTAGTGTCGTAATCGTGTCTGTGTAAATGTAGCTTAAATAGTGGGGAACGGGTCGATATCTTATTCCAATTCTGATTCCTGTTCCTGCTTGTCGTGAGTGAATCTGATACCTAGCTTGGATTGTTTACGTACCCTACTCTGCAATGTATGTTTTGTTCGAATTATACACAGCTAATGGAGGGTGAGTTGTGATTGTTTATTAAATTCTAATTAAAGTGGCCAAAGAGTAAATTTAGTATTGCAGTCTCCTGTCTATCTTTATTGTTTTTCCTGAAGTCGGTGAGGTACACTTGCTGCCGGACCACTACGCTCCGGGCGCCTTGAACCAATGTTGCATAACTGTTGAAACATTGTATTTATCAAAACTCTAGGATAATGAACGATTTGTTGTGTATTTGGCGAAATATCTTGAAGACTTGTTTTTGTAATTATACAAATTACATGAAATGTACTTTGTTTTAATGTCTATTGTATTAATTCTTAATCTATAATTCACATTATACGATTCAAAACCAGATGAAATTGTTTGATCATCTTATATTAAGCGTTTGGAAGGTTAAAGACAATGTTTATATCCGTACGTGTCTGTTATACTGTATGTTGTAGTTAAGTTGGATGACGAAGCACTGCAGCCGTGGGTCCCCAGCCCAAATTTCCAATTTTTAATTAGAATGAGGTCAAATAATTTAAATTATAATATTATTATAAGATTTACTACTAAAAACTGAGCTATGACGCCAGGTATACCCCTCACTACAGATAACAAGTGATTCTAGATTAGTGCCTGTTGGGGACCTGCTTGAAAAAATGAGAAGACAGAGACTGTGATGGTTTGGGCATGTGAAGCGGAATGGCTGTGTGGCCAAAAAGGTAGAGGTGCCAGGAAGTTGCTAAAGATGACATGGCGCGCAGGAATCAATAAAAACCTGGTATAGCTTAAAATCAGTGATGATATAGCAAATGATACCAAAATATAAAAAAGTATAACATAATTTAAAGTACTCATAAACCATATGATGATGCCAAATGCTACAAGACAGACAATAGTTTTCAGCCCTTGAGTACAAGTTGGGGATGAGGTGAGCAATATTGTACTGTATTGACAAAATTGGCCGGCGGCAACTGTCAGAGCCTTGTTGCTTAAAATATGTTTCATTTTGTCATTTGATTGTCATCTTTAATGTTTATATACTGCAATCATAGTTTAGAATTGAGATTTTAAGCATGTAACAGTAGTTACTATGCCATCAAAGACATTTTTTATGGTTTTTTTTTAAATTATTTTGACTGATTTTTTTTTTTCTCTTTTTTTTTTTGTGATGTTCTTTCAATTTATGTTGATTCAACAATTGTGTCAAAACAAAATACAACAAGCTATAGGAAAAAAAAAAGAAAAAAAATGCTCTATTACCTCTTTACTGTTACTATCTTCAATGTTTCAACTGCATTCCTGACACTATCATAGAGGGCGCAGACTCATCATTCATGCTGTCACATGTGGGCTGGGCACTCTGCTCATCTTTGTGGACTTCACTTGTTCCATCTCAAACCGTCATTACTTCTACTCAATTTCACAGTGCTTTTTCGCATGCAAAAGAAGTTCTCTGCTTTTCGAAGAAAACTTCCGAAACTGATGGCCGTATATATTTTGCTGGAAGGAATACTAGGAATTAAGGAATAATATAAATAAACATGTAAGTATACATCTCAGTCATTAATTTAATGAATTTGAAATGTTAAAGTATATTGTATTTAAAATCGGTTAATTTCTCCTATGATCAGTAGCGTACAGTATCTAGAAGTCTTGAAATGGGGTGGGGAGGGGTTGTTGATTGCGAGGGGTGAAGGTGAAGTGCTTGATCATCAAGTGAGGATGTGCAGGTTTACTATAATTACGTGATATGAGGCCATTTTAATATACCTTGAGCGCTACTTTTTCACTCCAAAAATTTTCAAATGGGGGAACACCCCTCCCTGCACAGCCCTAGATATGCCACTGCCTATGATTAGAATCCAAAGGGTACTTGATTTCATCTACAGCATGTGCTGTGTGTGAAACCTCTTTAAAACACTTCTTAGCTACTGTAGGGCTGCTAGTACGATTAGGTCAACCAAGTTTGTCAGTGGTAGAAGGCCACATTACAACCACAGTGGGCTCTAGAAGTAGTGCAATTTGTGAATTATTCTCAACTTACCAGGTGTGTCCATGGCTCCACTGCTAAGCCTATGTCTGACCCTTAGGGCTTCTGACTTGCTGAGGGCTACTAGGAGGATTTGGTGGCATAAAATCTGTCTGAACTGTCTCCTTCCGAGTAATTCTAAAAAGAAAAATAAACAAAGATAAAAGAATACATGACCAGCTTTTTTTTTTCTTTTTTCTTTTTTTTTTCGCATTTGCACATAATATTAGAACAGGTAGTCATAGTGCAATAAACAAGGTCTCTATGCTTTTCCCATTAAAAGTAACATAAACCTAAACAAAGAGAACACCTATAACAAATAATAATAATGATAATATGTAATTGTAACTTGACATCATTTATCATCGTTAAGCCTTGAGTATACTTACATAAAACTTCCGCTCAGCATATTACAATACATTACTACCGTAATTATTTCTTGGGTAAAGCCTACCCCATAAACATGACATTGGGTTTATTTTTTTTTCTCCTTTTTTTGAGGAAGCAAGGGGGAGGGGAGAAGGAGGAAACACTGGTACATAAAATCGAAATCATCAATGTAAATTTCATCACATTTCTAAAAAAAAAAAAAATACTGCAAGAAAGTCTCAGAGTGCCATTTCCGAGCATCTAGGTGGCTATTTTAAAAATGTTCTCAACTCACCTAAAAAGCCAATTGGGTAAAGCGGTGTGGCATCCAACGTGTTAAATACATTTTTAGCCACATATACGTTTGTGTATCTAAGTACCAATATGTTTGTTCAATCCACCAAAGTCATGTATATATCCACTATTGAGGTGCGCAGCACTTTGTAGCATAATTTTACTCTAGCCAATGATATTGACAGTGGCCTGCTGCTTGGGATCCCTAGACTACTCTACTACTACATAACATAACAACGTATGACTTTGGGAACATATCATAAGTTCTACATTTGTTCATGTACTTAATATCACTTTCTGGTTTTACCAGTTTCCAGGCTTTTAAGCTTTCAAGGTCTATTTTTTGGCACCCAGTAAAATGATCAATCATACCTCTAAGCTTGTAAACAGCAAGAAGCAGTAAAATAAACTAAATTATACAAATAGACAGATATTTGTAGACATGTTTTAACCAACCAAATGGAGCAGGTAATGTCTGGCAAATTAAGCCTAAAATATAGGCACATAGGCCTTAGTGAAATGTTGTAATTGAAAACTAAACACAGCAATTTCTTATCCCATATAAAAACCTGTATGATTGTCCACAATTATTAAAATAAATGATATAAAAATCAAACTTGTGGTATATAATTAAAAGTAAAATATATAAATTTGTTAAAATAATGTGTTTGTCTTATTGGTCAATAATCAGTCATCCAATTAATCAACTAGTCATTTAATCAATCAGTCAATCAAGCATACATACATGAAAAAATAAATCATCACAACAATTAAATAAAATATATATTTTTTCTACATCATTACTTTAACAAATTTGGCTTATTATTATTATAATTATTATTATTATTTTCTTGTATCTAACAAAGTAAACAAACCCACAACAAATAAAACAACACACTCTCAATTGTTTGTCAATGCCATGTGCAGACTATCAAATTTTATTTGACAAAAATTGTCATCTCATGACCATATATATATATTTCGCTGCAGAAAAAGGGCCCAATGTTTCCGATAAGCTTTCGTATGAGAAATCAGATAATTTATCGGAAAAATTTCAGAATGCAAAAATAAAGTAACCTTTCACTGATGTCAAACGGTCATGCAAAGAATTATTTTTTGAGAGTCAGTTTTTACGGGAACTATTCATTAGTGGCCTATGCTTAAGATCAAACACTTTATAATTAATATGAGTAAAATATGTCGTGCTTATTAAGTAATATAACGGAAACCTAAAATGGCTGAGCACGACGTCGACGGTGCCTAGCTGGGCTTAGGTCTAAGGTCTATCCCTACCTACTGTATCGTTTATTGTACTGTAAAGCACACCAAACAAATCTAACATTCCTTTTCCTTTTTTTCTCCATTTGTACATTTGTACAGCAATACAACTCACTATACTCTATTAATTAATTCTAATTTACTTGTCTTATATATTGTTTCTAATTACGGGTTCTAATCATACAGTATGTTATTATTCATGTCTTTTTATATGTTTTATAATTTTATAACCTTGCAATGAAATGTTTGCTGCCTAGTATTTCCATTTTTGGACAATAAATGAAATCTTGAAATCTTGAATTTCTATATAGAAGTACAATAAAATATCATTGTGACAGTATATTTCCCAGAATGAAATAGGATAGTACTGAACGATTTCATCCTTGGCCTCACACAAAAAAAGGTAACCTGCTGGTCAACAGAATGAATGTTACGATGTTGAACACATTGCACTGTTGTCCATAATGTTGCATGATGGAATAAAATATTTGGAGGGAATTTTGAGATAATCTATCAGAGAAAATTATGGCAGAAATTGTAATTAGTGCTGTGGAAACACAGCCTTATATACGGGTTAACAAGATTTGTTCATTTCACCCATTTTTTAGATATGAAGTGCTTTTCCCTCAGGGTCCATGTGATTAAGTGTTGCTGCTGGGTGGAGAGAAGCAAATGCAGATAAAGGGCTGACTAGGACACAAAAGAAATGCACAGCCAGGGATTCAAACTCCAACCTCTAAGATTCAAGCTTCAGATTCCATTTATTTTCATATGAAATTTGTTTTCCTGAATTAGGAATACACAAAATATACATACAAATTAAATAATTACTATGCTAAAAATTAAATCTTAACAACTTGAAATTGTTTACAGCAAATGGCACCAAAACAAACTCTACAATTATTATCATTACCACTATTAATTAAATAATGGTTGAGTGCAGTTGAATAGCTTGGTGGAGGGAACCTTACCTTCCAATCCCAGGGTTCAACATTGATAGATCCACACAGTTATCACATGAGGCTAGTCGAGTGGCCGAGCGGTAAAGGCAGAAGAAACAAATTGCCTAAAATTTTGCTCCTACAAAATTAATAGAAACAATAATATAATGTTGAATAAATTATGGCATCATACTCAAAAGTGATATGCGATGGGTAAATGATAAATTTTGGTGCGTAGGGTATTTTAGCAGGCGTGTGTATTTTATTTTATTTTATTAATTGTTTTAGGCCTAAAGACAAGGATATGCCAAACAGCAAACATAATCCTTGGTTTGTATCACATAGAAGAAATCCAAATCCAAATCATTCCATCACTTTTCTTGACATATCCCTTTACCAGACAAAAATAAACGCAAGATTCTCTAAGTAAACCAAGTCTCATTATTTAATATGTATGTTGTACCCCATTTGTTTTTCCAATTTTTTTTTTCCAAAGGTACTGTACAGTATTGCACAAAATTAAAATGAATACTAACATCTCCACTAGTGAAAGATTATGAGTAGTTTATAAGAACAAGGTATTGTTGATCCCATTGATATTCAAACTAAAGACCCATGGGCTGAGCAGAGCAGTTGACTCAGAGTTATTGTTCCTGCTGCTTTTGCTGAAGACCTCAGTTCAAACCCAGCCAGCATTGGGTATATTGGAGTCTGATCACTTGGTATCTTGATTAACCCTCATATTGAGAGTTCGGTGGGTTAGGAACAATGTTTGTATCAGCATGTGTCACTTATAATTTGTTGAGTCGGGTGGCGATGCACACAGCTGCCATGGGTCTCCAGGGGTCCAGCCCAAATTTCTAATTTCCAATAAGAATGAGGACAAGTAAAACATTATTATTAATATTATTATTATTATTATTATCATTATTATTATTATTATTATTAAGATTACTACTCTAGGGGTCCCAAGTTGGAAGATGTCATTTCCAGGACAGATCTACATTGGCTGATCCAAGAATTCAAAAAGAGTGGGGGGCCTTTTACTGATGTAGGGTGAGCCTCATCTAGCACCACCATGGTTGGGACTGAGATAAGAACATTTGTGACACTCTAAAACATACATTTTTTATTATAATTTTCTTTTTTCCCTATTATTTTTATAATCTGGAAAAACTTAGGGGCCCAACACAGCTGTCCCCCCCCCCTCCTCCCTCTAATCATCCACTGATCTGCAATGGTTAACGACTTTTGTTAACACAATTAATTTTACCGCCATTCAATTCAATTGCTAGACCCTTTAATTCAAGACCACTTTTTCAAAGTACCAACTAACCATCTATCTTTTACCGCTGAGCTCACCCTCTAATTATGAGACCCCTCTAATTCCAGATCGAGACCACCTTTATATATGGAAGTAACAAGTGATAGAATGACCTCTAATTCAAGACCACTTTTGAAAATAAAAATTAAAAAAATTCAAGTTTTCAAAAAATTCTAAGAAAATGAACTTCAAAATTAACAGATGTATTTTCATATGCTTATTCATATTATAAATAAAGGTTTCCTTATTGCTGTGGGCTGTAAAAGGGTGATATTTCCTACTTTATATTTATATTTCCTTTCCTATATCCTACATTTGACGACTGATAATGTATATACAATATCAACTACCACAAACATGTTGTATTTAACCATATTTTTGCAATACATAGAAGGTTTTAAACAACAATTCAGGTGCATTCTAAAAACAGGCAACTGTATTTATTGTATGAGATTACTGAATACTGTACAATGATGATGACAACTAACTCGCTGAGATCATAGGATTTAATCATTTTTTGGTAGAATTTTGCATAGAATTTGTACAATGTGAGTATTTTGTCAGCTAATCTGGTGATAACCACTATGTATGGAGAACCAAGGAGATCCATTAACCTTTGGTACCCGGTTTAATCCCATCTGTTGCTCTCCTTGTTATGCAGTTAAAGGCTGGGATTGAATGTGTCTTGGAAGAGCCTAAGCCCTTGGTCATGTGCATGCTAAGAATGCAGTATAATCTTGGAAAGATTAAAGTCTCCTGACTGGTACTAGCTAATCACCACCTGTGAAGGACCCACTGGAAATAAGTCTGCAGACTGGGTGGGTGGGTTACTCTTGGTGTTCACTAGAAAGCAAATGCCCCTGTAATTGCTCTGATTGATAAACCTTCTTTGAGTTGTAAAATTATAGTAATACTCTATGGTGTACTGTACATACAGCTTGTCTATGCAATTTATATATTTATATTTTTTATTTATATTTTATTCATATTTCTCTGCTTGCTATTTTATACCTCCATGGTCTATGGCTGTTGATACATTATCAATCATCAAAAGTACAGTAAGATACACATAGGCCTATAATGCTTTTTAAAAGGTTTCTGAATTAAAAAGTAGGTCTACACAAAGGATGGGAATGGTTATTTCGTACAATGATTATTGACCCCCGTACAGTACTTGACCACTGTATTAAAATTTGTGGACAAATAAATTTTCTGTATTCTGTATTGTTTTAATTAAAATCAAAAGGGTACTGGGTTTCGTTCACAGCATGGCTGTGTGTGAAACCAATTATCAAGTCAATGATACTCAATTGTATATATCCTTTTCCTCAAATTTGTTTCAGTAAAAGCAGTCAACCATATGGAAGTGTGCTTTGATCAGGTTCAGTCATGGCTTGCCCATAATAAATTATGTTTCAAGTAAGACCGAATTTTTGTACACAGCTCCTGCTCACCCAGACACCTGTCCTTCAACAACTGAGAGTTGGCAATACTTCAATCTCACTGTGATCTCACCATCTAAAGAAGTACAAAATATTGTGTGACTCTTGACCTATCATCAATAGGATCTGTGTAGAAAAACATATTTAATACTTGCAAAGCTGTTAGGTACCACCTCCACAACATCAGAAAGGTAATTAAACAGACATTTGCTCAATGAAGGTGCTACTTCCAAACTTGTCCATGTTATAGTTAAATCTCGATTGACTTTATATTGCAATGGTGTTCTTTACGGCTTGTCCTAGAAACTGCTGAGGAGAGTTGAGTAAAATGTAGCAGCCAGACTCATTGCTTTCACTCCTAAGTGTGGGCATACAGCACATCCCCAATTGTACATCGTCTCCATTGGTTACCCATTTGTCTCAGAATTAACTTCAAGATCTTGTTATTTGTATAAACTGTAAGTCACTCCATAAATCATTCCCCCACTACATCTCCAATATTATTTCACTTCGTTCTGCTGTTTGCACCCACAGACTTAGGTCTACTTCATCTTCATCTACCATTCATAACTGTCCCATTGGTCACCACACAACTTGTGGCGATCGTTCTGTCTGGTTGCTGCTCCAAAGCTGTACTGTACCTGAGACTGCTTGACTGTCTTCAAGTCTTGGCTCAAATCCCATCTTTTTTCTTTATTTTAATTCTGAACTTGATTCCTTTTCTTTTGCTTTTTGTTTAAAATTCTTTCTATTTTTGTGTGCACATGGGCTGTGGTTTCTTTACATATAGAAACGATTTTGTATTATGCACCTTATAAGTACAGGTATATCACTATTAAGATTAGCAGTAATGAAGTAGTGCAATTTGTGGATTACTATGAACTTAGCGGGTGTGTTCATGGCTCCACTGCTAAGTGTATGTATGACCCAATAGGGCTTCTGCCTTGCTGAGGGCTACTGGGTGGATTTAGTGGCATAAATGCATCTCAACTGTCTTTTTCATTGTAATTCTTAAAAAAAGAAGAAAACAAAGATTAAAGAATAGATAACTACCATGCTTTAGTGCACCCACATGTAATTCATAATAAATCTGTTGACTTCAATTTTTAAGGATTTTTTTCTCCTAAGCAAAACTTACTACTGAAATGTTTTTTTTTTTATTTGCATATAGTGATATTAACATGTAGAACTATATAGTGCAAATAAACAAGGTCTCTATAATCCTTTCTCCATTAAAACATTAACAAAAAACTAAACTAAGTAAATAACAATCCCCCAACCACTGTATATCTATTATTGACATTTTTATCATCATTGTTAAAAAAAATCCATTGAGAGTATATTTATTTCTTTACTTAAAACCGACAACCTGCATATTACATCAGGGGTTTATTTAGAAGCCGGCGGCCGGCGCATTCGATCGGCTACTACGATGTTTTCGCCGGCTACTTCAAATCATGGTGTACAAAAATTAATACAAAAACCACCAAAAATAATAGCGCAGCAGGCCTATAAAGAACCTCTTTTACCTACACGAAGTTAATTTGAAAATATAAGACAATAGTATGCACTCATTTCAATGTTCTTTTCTGTTGAAAGTCCGTTAAAATTTCTACCAACTTTCGGACTCCATGTTTCGTGAACTCGCGGCGTAAATAATGTTAAAGTTCAAGGTTCGGCAGTCGCGTCGGGGTGAAGCCACGCCTCCAAATCACATGTTAGCCAATAAGATAAGAGCAATTTTTCCTGCCTCCACAACGTGCTCTGGTGATGACGACATACAATACATCGCCCAAACTTTCCTTCCAAACATTGGGCTTCCGGTTTTTCTCACCACGGAGAATTTGAAAATTAATTTGTGATGACTTACTACGAACCTTTTATTTTCCTTTTATTTTTCTATGTTAAACACGATAATTATTAAATGCTCAACCGTTTTTAACATCACAGTATCATCAGAATGTTTGATTCTTTTACTAGCCCTCTTTGTGATGAAATAAATATTTCGGAAATGATTAATAATAATAAAAAAAAAAGAAAACAACACTGACTCAAATTCGTTTACCCTCGGAGGAGGCGGCAAGCTGAACGAACTTAATTTCAGAGTATCATAGATGGTACCATGATTAAAACGGACGCAAAACAAGCCAAAATCGTCTAAATTCACATTACATGAGACGTGATTTTCTTGCACCTATAAAAAATCAGTATTTTTTCCAGTGTGATATCCATTGTTTTTCTTTATATCTGCGTAAATTTTAGAACTATTTTTGCTCTCCTTAGATGTTTTCAGGGTAGTGCGAATGAGTTTGTTTTGAGTCGCGATCGCGTAATACTCGCGCGAATATTTATTATTAATTCATCATGGCAGATCGCCCACCACCTTCTTCCATTTTGAGGTTTTTCCAACCTAGGCCTAGTTCAGCAGCCAAGCGTGCAAAACAAGGTACAGTATCATTTATTTATTTTCTTTCTTTTTTTTAATGTTTCGTAGCCCTAGCCTTCACTTTCCCAAACAATTTTCGTATTTCTTAGAAAACTCGAAATTCTGAGACTAGACCTAGGCTAGGCGGCCCTAGAGTTGGGATTCGAGATTTTCTCCAGCTTTTAATTATATTTAGTTATGTTTTCAAAATTTAGATACCGAAAATGAAATTTCTAATCCCATCGTTGATGAATCAGACACGGAGATGCCTGAAACCGATTCCAATGCGAGTGAAGAAGAATACGAAGACGCGAGTTCTTCAAGGTCTGATCCCAATGAGCACAGT